GGGAACTGGGATGGACTGGGATGGGCTGGGAATGGATTAGAGTGAACTGGGATGAACTGGGAGGGGATTGGAGGGAACTGGGATGGACTGGGATGAACTGGGATGGACTGGAAATGGACTGGGAGGGGCTGGAAATGGACCGGAATCCCTTTTCCCTGTGATCCTTTTTTCCCAGAAATCCCTTTTTTCTTGGGAATTCCTCTCCCCAAAATCGCCTTTTTCCTTTGAGATCCCTTTTTCCCAAAAATCCCTTTTTTTCCCCCCCAAAATCCATTTTTTTTCCCAAAAATCCCTTTTGTTTCCCCAAAAATCCCATTTTCCCTCACCTTCGATAGGCGTGCAGTGAAACGAATGCGCGATTTTGTTCCAGGCCTCCGTCACTTGTGTGTTCTGGGGAAAAAAAACAGGGAAAAAGTCAAAAATGTGGAAAAAACCTCAAAAAAAGGAAAAAAAAACCCCCAAAATGGGAAAAACTCCAAAAAAATGGGGGAAAAAAGGGGAAAAAAACACTCAAAACATGGAAAAAAGCCAGAAACATGGAAAAAAAAGTCCAAAATGGAAAAAAACCCAAAACATGGAAACACTCCCCAAAGAGGAAAGAAAACCCAAAACAACTGAGAAATCCCAAAAATCCTGAAACCCCAAAATCCAACAAAATCTTGAAATTCTAAAAATCCAAAAATCCCCAAAATCCCGAAAATACCAAAAATCTCGAAATCCCAAAAATCAAAAAAAAATTCAAGAAAATCCCAAAACTGCCCAAAACTGCCAAAAACCCTGAAGACTCAAAAATGCCAAAAACCCAAAAATTCCAAAAATCCCCCAAAAAATCCCAAAAATCCCCCAAAAAATCCCAAATCCCACCTGGTTTCCGGGTTTCACCAGGCGCAGGGCGGCCTCGGCGCACAGATGAGCCGCCTTGATGACATCGGCTTTGCGACCAGAAATGGGGTTTTCCTGGAAAAAAACGGGAAAATTTTAGGAATTTTAAGGGGTTGGTGATGGTTTGAGGTGGAGGTTCCCAGTCTGGAATTTGTGGGATTTGTGGGAATTTGGAGGTCTGGTGTTGAGGTGGAAAAATCCTGTAATTTCTTCGTTAATTCCCCCTAAATCTGATCCTAAAAAAATTGCAGAGGATTCGCTGTCTGTGTGTTCCTAAATGGGATCAGGATTCCCAAAAATCCTAAAAATATGGATTGGGGAAATTCCCATAAAATCCCAAAAATATGGATTGGGGAACTTCCCACAAAATCCTCGATGTCCCAGGGTGGTGCCACCTCAGATCCAGAAATTTTGGGACGATGCCACCTCAAATTCTGAGGTCCCAGGGCAATGCCACCTGTGACCCCAATGTCCCAGGGCGGTGCCACCCATGACCCCGATGACAGCGATGTCACCTCTGCCCCGATGTTCCAGGGTGGTGCCACCTCAGATCCAGAAATTTTGGGACGATGCCACCTCAAATTCTGAGGTCCCAGGGCGATGCCAACCATGATCCCAATGCCACCCATGACACCTAGGCCACCCTGTCCCCGATGCCACCCACGACCCCGATGCCACCCCGATGCCACCCTGTCCCTGATGCCACCCCAATGTCACCCCGATGTCACCCCGATGCCACCCTGTCCCTGATGCCACCCATGACCCCAATGCCACCCCAATGCCACCCATGACCCTGATGCCACCCCGATGCCACCCCAATGCCACCCTGTCCTTGATGCCACCCATGACCCCGATGCCACCCCGATG